TTTTTTATCTGCAAGCACAGTTAAATGTTCAGACTATTTAAAATGTTTAAGTGACTGACATTAATACACATTCTTGATGATAGGAATTAATCTGCCTCGTTTTTAAACTGTGCACCGCTTAATTAGGCCTACAATGTTATTTTGTAATGCTGGTCATTATGGTGGTACTTGGAGACAATTTTTTTTTCTAAGGTGGTACTTGGTAAAAAAAAAAAGTTTGAGAACCACTGGTCTGTGATATTTTGTGTAGTTGTGAACGTCTACAATCACGCTGAGGAGAGAAAAAAATTCACAATAGAACCAAACTGTGATTTTCAATGTTTAAGTGAGAGCCTTAAAGCGAGGGCTTCTGTTTTTGAAAGGAATTCTTGATATGTGATGTTTTCATTTATATTTGAGATTTTTGAAGAGGAAACTGGAACTGGTAAAGTTGAAATATTTATAGGTGAAGAGGTTCCAATATTCCCATGAAATTGAGAGATTGTAAAAGAGTGAAGTGTGGTTACTTTCACTGAGAGGTGCTGGGGTTAGATGTTCTAAGACTTACAGAAGATCTTATTTTTGAAACCAGCCATGTACACTAGATGTTCTGGAGAAGGTGTGTAGGGTTTTTTTTCCTGAAAAGTTCTGGGTTACAAGTTTTAGAAGAATAAATGTTAAATCTTCCCATGGAAATAATGGATCTTAAAGAAAGAGAAAATCTGGTCATTCTGAAGAGTTGTAAGGTTTTAATTTGAGATTTGGTGTTTTGAAGTGTTTCTATGGAAGTACTAATCTTATTCCTTAACCTTACTCCTAGTAATTTCTGGGTTTACAAATCTTCAATAGATATGTTTGAATTGATTTTTTTGAAAAGTTCTTGAATGACTGGTGTAGGTGTACAATGTGCTGTTGTGTGGAGATGCTAGTCACCAATAGAAGACTGGGCTTCATTCAAGGCCTTTCACTCAAGACCACCTTCTCTGCGTGCTGTCCAAGTGGACCCAGCGGGGCTGAATACTTACCACTCCCCCAAGTGACCTTTTGTTAACACCGCAAGGTTGCCCAGGTCACCCGAGAAGAGTTTGAAGAAATTTCTCTATGTAGCCTTCTCTGGCCAATTCAGAGACCAGGTTCACCGCAAGCTGCCATCATACCTATAAAGGAAATCCGTTGGGATCA